GGCCAAGCAGGCCAAGTTCCAGGAGGTCAGTCCTAGAGGACAGAATGAGAAACTGGGAGCAGAATGGAGGAGGAAGAGGGGAGAGCTGAGCAGAGTCCACAGCAGAGCAGCAGTTCTCAGTTATGGCGACACAGTAACCTGGGTGGGACTCCCTAACAATATTACCCAGAATTCTGGAAGTACACAGCACTGTCTTCCCTCTTCCCAACACCGGGGGAAATTTACGACCTCTTCATCTTGGCCATGTGAACTCTGCTTCTTGTTAATGGATGTGTGTTCCCTCTCAGAGATAAGAGTATTTCATGTAGAGAAAATGGGATATCACCTATAAGCTGTGAGGGTGGGACAGAGGGCCCACAAGAGAGCATGGGTGAATGGTTTTATGTCAGAGCCAAGTTCATGTGTCTGCTGCCCCACCCACCTGCCTGGATGCACTGGCCATGATGTATCCCATCTTGCACCTACAGCGGGCTTTGCATGATGAGGTTGGAGGGACTAGGGTGAGGAAACCACAGGAAGATGTGTTCCAGAATAAGATGGAAAGGGAAGGGAGGCCTAGACATGTCCATTTGTTCTCTTGTTTCAAAAAAATCACCAAGTGTCTTCTGTGTCTAAGTGCTTGGAGTTCAGTGAACAGCCACACACTTTGCCCACTGTCATGAACCCTATAGTCCAGGGCCAATGGTTTCTGTCACATTTTGAGGCTGTGTGGGGGCTGCATAGATAATGTGCTACAGAGTCTGTTTGAGAAGAGAGGGCAGAGGAGTTGAGCCAGACTGGACCAAGTCATCTACACAGAGAAGAACCACATCTGACCACATTCTGACCTTGGTCATCTACACAGAGAAGAACCACAGAGCAGACAGAGAGGGAGAGACTAAAGCAGGTGAGTTTAGTCAGTCATATGGGCACACCTGGGCTAAGGAGGGTCCACCCTGCATAGACCTGGTAGGAAATCCTGCGTACAAAGGCATCTTCCTCTCCTGGCTCTTGGTCACGGCAGGGACCAGGTGGAGAGGCCACCCATTCCCACTACACCTGGGAGTGGACCAGGAATGTCAACTTCCGTGGGATGGAGGAAACAGTGATTGCAGGGGAGCTGAGTTCCCCCAGCTACTGGTACTGTCATGAGAAGCAGAGGAGGGAAGTTGCCTTTGCTGGTGCGGAGCAGAGAGGAGGGGAGAGAGGAGGGGTTGGACCCACAGGTCCCGGGTCTCAGAGTGACTCCGGTGCCTCTCCATTTCTCCCCACCACAAAATAAGCTCCTCTTTCAGCCTTATTCTCTTCTTATTTTTGTCACTTCCTTTTACTCTGTCTTAGGCCTAAGCTTTGGGTCTAGACTCCATATGAAATGCTTATTCTAGAACTTCTGTTCGGCCTTCCAGCCCCTGGACAGAACGTAGAGAAGAAAAGCCTGAATGGGGACAGCACATGATGTTGACTTTTTTACTTAACCTTCGAGCCTTTGATGATATGCAAGAAATTTTGCACACGTTCTCACAGAGTCTAAGGAATTTCTGGAGTGTATCTGTGGACCACGGCCCCTAGTTTCCAGCATGGTGTCCGCGTGCAGGGGACCTACATGGGCTTTGGAGTCTCACAGGCTTGGTTTTGAGTCCTTTCCAAACTCTTTTGCTTGTTTCCAGCTGGTTTGGGAAAATAATTTAAACTCTGTTTCCTCATCTACGAAAACGGAGAAAAACAGTGTAGGGCAGTTGTGAGGGTAAAACCCCAGGGCACCTGTGTAGCACTTGGGGTGATGTCTGGCCCACGGTCAAAATCAGGACGTGGTAGTTCTCTCCTTCCACCTCTCTCTGACCATGCTGCCCCTGCTCAGAGAGCCTCAGCCCACCTCCAGCCTGGTGTCACAGACCACCTACATTGCTGGGCACAGCCTTTCCACCCTCCACCCACTGCTCCTCTGCACAAGCTTCCCACGCCAACCCAAACCAGAGCTCCTTCTGGATATGCCTTCAGCACCGTCAGACCAAGTCTCAGCTGCCTGCTCCCTGCCCTTCTCTTCACTCCTCAGTGCTCTGGGAAAGTCCTGCCCCCTCTGAAGCCAGGTACCTGCCCCCTCTCTGCGCTGAGTTGAGAGGGGCTAATGGTGAACACCAGGGACACAGTAGAGTACAGCGCCCAGGGCAGGTGGCTGATGGGGTGGAAAGAGGTGGGCAGAGTATACGGGAGAACAGCGTGGGAGGAGGAATGTGGCTGAACACCAGGTTGTGTGGGTGGCTGGAGATCTGGCAAGAGGCCCACAGAGACTGCCTCCTCCAGCACTGGCTGTCCTGGCCAAGGTCTGACCATGCTGGGAGGAATGGGAGAAGAAAACAAGGCAAATGCTGGCATCTGTTTGTGCTAGAAAGGAACACCTTGTAGGCCCCACTGTTCCTCCCTGTCTCCCCATCCACAAGGCTTCTTGCCTGTCTCTTCTCTTGGGTACTCCCCTCCCTACTCCCATGCCCCACCCTTCTCTGCCTGGAGACACCCAGTGGGGCCTGACACCCAGACGTGGCCAGGAGGGGCACAGTGCAGCTGACTAGAAAGGAGCAATGTCATTTTCAACAGCACCCAGTGTGCAGTGTAGGGAACAGAGGAGACTGGGCTGGCTCAGCAGGACAGAGACTGTGGACAGAGCCCAGGGCTGTGGGTTGAGCTTCCCCACGGTGAGGATGCAGACTGGACACTGAGACTCCATTGCTGAATGTCTGCGCCCCTTGTTCCATTTAATCTTTCTGATACTTTTCCTCTTGATATTCACAAAACCTTGAAAGGCAGGCGTGATCTAAAATATTCTCATTTGACAGAGTAGGACACTGACAGTTAAAAAAGTTTTGTGAGTCCCATAGCTAAGACTCCTTTTTTTCAAAAATTATTTTATTGTTGTTCAAGTACAGTTGTCTGCATTTCCCCCTCACCACTCTACCCCCCTACCTGAGCCAATCCCACCTCTCTCCTTTGCTTCCACCCTCCCCCTTGGTTTTGTCCATGTGTCCTTTATAGCAGTTCCTGAAAACCCGTCCTCAAATTGTACCCTCCCCTCTACCCTCTGGTTACTGTTAGATTGTTCTTAATTTCAATGTCTCTGGTTATATTTTGTTTGCTTTTTTCTTTTGTTATGTTCCAGTTAAAGGTGAGATCCTATGGTATTTGTCTTTCACTGACGGGCTTATTTCACTTAGCATAATGTTCTCCAGTTCCATCCATGCTGTTGCAAAGGGTAGGAGCTTCTTCTTTCTCCCTGCTGCATAGTATTAATTCCATTGTGTAGATATACCAGTTTTTTGATCCGCTCATTTACTGATGGGCACTTAGATGTCTTCCAGCACTTGGCTATTGTAGATAACACTGCTATAAACATCCATAGCTGAGACTTGAGCCAGGTCATCTGATTATAAAGCCAGCCCCCCTCGCCAGTCAATCCTCTTTAGAGGAGGTTGTCCTATGACCCCTCTGGTGTAGCCCCCTTGGGACTTCCCTCCCACTCCCATTTCCTGGTGCTGGCCGAAAGTCAGAGACTAGACTAGATAGAAGTCACTAGCTGCACGTGGCTCTTTACAGTCTAATTAATGTAAGTTAGGTAAAGTTAAAAGTTCAGTTCTTTTGGTTGGTTATACTAAGTCCATCCAAGTGCTCAGTAGCCACAGGAGGCCAGTGGCTTCTAGCCAGACAGAGAGCATTTCCATCATCGCAGAAGGTCGTATGGGCAGCATGGGCCTGCAGGGAGAGTCAGGCAGGAGACCTAGGGTGGGAGACCAGGAGGGCTCCAGGGAGCCTTGTAAGGAGACTGGGGATACAGAACCAGGGTCTGGGTGAGGGCAGCAGGGAGAGGTCCAGTGGGCGTGGGGGAGCACCAGAGAGCTGTGGCACCTGAGTCTCAGGCACCTCCCTTCGATACTGATACTCTTGCAATACCAGTGAGCAATTAAGTGGCTGGGGCGTGGCCAAGGCTAAAGCAGGAGGGAGGGGATGCTGTGGGGGAAGAACCTCTCCTTTCCGCAGATCCCTGGAGGTATGTCAGTCCTGCCTTTCTACTCCAGCTTCCCAGGCCTCTGTCAGCCCTCCATCACCTTCTGAAGACTCAAGCTGGCAGCTTCCTGTTTGCTCACCCAGGCTCAGGAACCAGCTAATGGGAGTCAGGGCCACCACCTTTCCAATTAGCCTTATTAGGCTCTGGCTCACCCACGGCAGTTGTGGTCACCAGCTGTGGGGGAGGGGCTGTAAGTGGCTTGTGAGTGATTGAGGTCCAGCTATGACAGGGGTACCCAGCCCAGGCCTCTCCCCAGGATGAGGCCCTGATATCCAACACCCCTCATGCTGTCCCCCGAGGCCCCAGAAGGAAGAGGTCAAGGAGCTGGGGTTTGGAAGGCAGATTCCCAGTTTCTAAGAGGAAAAGGCTCACTCACTGATGGAACACTTGATAAGTGTGTGGCAGGCAGAGTCCCTGGGCGGTGAGGACAGGTGGCACAGGCATGGGGTTCAGACCCTTATACTTGGAGGAGAGTAGTGATTCCCAGGGGCTGTGGATGGGAACCTGGTTAACCAGGCAGTTGTGGAGGGTGGGGTGGGTGCAGAGCAGAGAACCAGTGAGGAGGGGAAGTTGAAATGCCGGTCCGGAGGATGTGGAGTTGGATAGGCCAACATAGGGAAGGCAGGCAGCACATACTGAGGGAGCCACGTGACTGGACCCATGGTGAGAGCAGCCTCCCCAGAGTGGGCAGCCACTGTTGGGGCAGAGTGCCAGGTTCTGGGTTAGGCAACGAGGATCCAGGGCAGACCTATCAGGGCCGTGGCCACCGGTACCTCACACTGCAGCCACCTCTGCTGCTGAGTAGGCAGATACCCCAACTGATTACTTCAGCTCCTCCTGCCACACCAACTTCCCCTGGGCACTGCCCTCCTGTCTCCTCCCCTCCCCACAGTGACTCCTGCCCAGAGAATGTCCAGCCTTGCCATAAAGGCCTGGGTGTCCACCAGCTGCCGGCAGTCTGAAGGCCATGAAGTCCAGGATGGGCTCCTCGCAGGCACCCAGGACGGGGTGTGTGGGAGGGCAAGGGGTGATGGCCCTGCTGCTGGCTGGCCTCCTCCTTCCAGGTAGGAGGCAGGGAGGGTGGCCTGGGATTGAGGATGGATGGGAGGGAGGGTGTGGACCCCAGGTGGGGGAAGTCTGGGGGTATTGTGCTGGGGGACACCTGGGGCACACCATGTCTAGGGGGAAGGTGCGCTGCACAGTCTGACACTGGGACCCGGGGGCTGCTTCTAACTGCCCTGCCACCCAGGCAAGTGACTTAAACTCTCTGAGCTTCAGTTTCTGAAACTCTACAATGGGGTTAATGATAACACCTAGCTTCAGTCTCTCTGTGAATCTCAAATAAGGTACGTGACAGTGCTTTGGAAATTCGAGAGGGTTATATAAAAATTTTGTTGCTGATTACTAGGAGGTGAAGACTGAATATTGAATAGTCACAATAACTACCATTTGTAGTTATGAGCCCTTTTATGTGCCAGATACTGTTTTCTAGCACTTTCAACCTTTAGAGGAACCAAATGAAATTCGTTATTCCCAGTCTGCATGTGAAGACACTGAGGTTTGAGTACAAATACAAAGTAAAGCCAAATGCAAACCCCAGGCAGGGGTGTTAGCTAGACACTTGTGGTGATCTTGCAGGGCTCCTGAATGGGGACAGGCTGCATAGCATTGGGGGAGCAGAGGAGGACAGCTGACAGCTACTGAAAGAGCTGGGGTTTGGTGTGGAGGGGTGCAGAGAACTTTTTGTTGAAGAGGGAATGAAGTCATCACAGATTGTGAGACCTGGCTGTTGGTAGCAGGCTTGAGTATCAATGGCAGTAACACATCACAATGTGTCACGCTTTATGTTTTCAAGCCCCTTCCACATCCATGGTCACATTCAGTGCTCACAGTGATGCCACGAGGAAGGGCAGACCTGGCTTCTCCAAATGTACAAACAGAACCTCAGTGAGGGCTGGTGATATGCAGAGTGTGGCTCTGTGCACACCACTTGGGACTGGAAGGGGTTGAGAGGCAGTGGAGGATGGTGGAGGTAGGTGAGGCAGAAAGAGTTGGTTCTGTATTAGGAGAGAGCCAAGGCAGGAGCAGCCTGAGGGGAGGCAGTTGCTCATGTGAGGGCTGGGTGGGGGTGGGTGGGGATGGGGAGCAGGTCTGGGAGAGAGAAGCTGATGCCAGTCAGGACCCTCCCAGGAGGTTCCATCCAGTGTCCCTGTGCTGGGCCAGGAGAACAGGGTTGCTCAGGGCGAGGTGTTCCATCGGGCTGTACCAACAGGTTCTGAACAGTGGGTGCCCCCACATCCTGACCCCCACCCAGCTTTTCTGCAGGGCAGCACTGGCTTGGAGCAGAATTTCCATCCTTCATCTAAACCTGGCTTCTAACAAAGAAGCTGCTGACCATGTTCCTAAGTGCCCTGCTCTCTATACTTAAGCCCCTTGACGACCGGCCTTCTCTTTTCTCAGTATCTCTTTTGCTGTTTGTTCTTCCCCTCTTGGCCCTCTATTGTTCTGCCTGTGTCTTCCCAGCCCATCTGGTCCCAGGATCTCTCAAGGGGTTCCTTCCTGGGGGATCTACGTCCACCTCTGGTCTCAGTCTCCCCGCCCCACCCCGCTGTCTCTGGGGCTGGTCCCGTAGGCTATTTGTCTTACTGCACCCTCCCTGCGGGCCTCCCTCTTTGCAGTCTCCTTTCATTTTCTGTCAGATATTTGGCCCCTCCTCTCTCCCTCCTAGAATAATGGAAATGTCCTTATTCTATCACCTCACTTTTTTTTAGAGACAACAGCCTCTCCCTCCCTTTTCTGCCCCAGACTCTTCTAGACCAGGGACAGTCTGGGGCAGAAAAGGAGAAATCTAAGAAGAAATCAAAGTGGCAGGTGACAGAGATGGGCCTGAAAGGTGAGGGAGAAAGCCAAGTCTCCCAGACTCTTACTAACCATGACTTTCCTCACCAGGGACTTTGGCTAAAAGCATTGGGACCTTCTCAGACCCCTGTAAGGACCCCACGCGTATCACCTCCCCCAATGACCCCTGTCTTATTGGGAAGGATGGCTCCAGCAACTTCATTTCCAGTTCTGGTGGCTCCAGTGGCTCCAGCAGCTCCAGCAGTGGCTCCAGCAGTGGCTCCAGCAGTGGCTCCAGCAGTGGCTCCAGCAGTGGATCCAGCGGTGGCTCCAGTGGTGGCTCCAGCGGTGGCTCCAGTGGTTCTAGCATCTCCGGTGGCTCAAGTGCTTTCAGCAGTGACTACAGCGGTGGCTCCAGTGGATCCAGTGTTGCCCAGAGTGGTTCTTCAGGATCTGTGTTATTTAAGCCAGGGACGGGGTATTCCCAGGGCAGCTATTCCTCTGGATCTGGCTCTAGTCTACACAGTGCCTCCAGCTACTCCCAGTCAGGCAGCAGCTTCCAGTCAGTGTCTGGACCAGCTCTATCAACCAATGGTGGTTCTTCTCACTTTGTGATAAACTCTTCCCCGTCTGGAGGAGGCTCAAGCTCCTCTGTTTCCCAAGCTTCCCAGATATCCAGCAATGGCGGCCAAAGGGTCAACTCTAACTTACGACCCTGTAGTTCGGATGTCCCTGACTCTCCCTGCAGTGGGGGGCCTGTTGTCTCACACTCCAGCTCCTACATCTCCGGCTCTCACTCCGTGTCAGGGGGTCAAAGGCCAGTGGTGGTGGTGGTGGAGCAGCATGGCTCTGGTGGCCCTGGAGTGGTTCAGGCTGTCCCCTGTAGCAACGGTGGCCTTTCAGGCAAGCCCTGTCCCCCCATCACCTCTGTACATGACTCCTATGGCAGCTATGAAGTGGTGGGTGGCTCCTCTAATAGTTATCTGGCCCCAGGCATGACTTACAGTGGGGGCAAAATCTACCCAGTGGGATACTTCACCAAAGATAACCCTGTCAGAGGCTCCCCAGGAGTGCCTGCCTTTGCAGCTGGGTCCCCCATCTCTGAGGGAAAATACTTCTCCAGCAACCCCATCATCCCCAGCCACAGCTCCTCCAGTGCCAGCATTGCTTCCTCGGCCATTGTGTTCCAGCCAGCGGGCTCGGGTGGGGTCCAGCCCTGTGCAGGTGGTTCCTTAAGCTCAGGGGGCCCCTGTTCCCTCTCCAGTTCTGGAGTCCACGGCAGCCCCAGTATCTCTGGCAGTTCTGGGTCACGCTCCCACCCCTGTGGCAGTTTTTCCCAGGGGCCCTGTTCCCCACCTGGCACAGGCTCGCTCAGCCACAGCTCCACCTCCCAATCTAGCAGCAAAATCATTCTTCAGCCCTGTGGCAGCAAGTCCAGCTCTGCTGGTCACCCTTGCATTTCTGTCTCTTCCTCAGTATTGAATGAGGGTCACAATGGCTCTCCCCAGTCTGGTCCCTCAGCTGTTGCCCAGCCCTGCGGCAGCTCTGGAAAGATGCCTTGCCGCTCCATCCGGGACATACTGGCCCAGGTGAATCCCCTGGGGCCCCAGCTAGCTGACCCTAAAGTCTTCCTACCCCAGGGACAGTTACATGGCAGTTCGTAAGTCACTTTTGTAGCATGCATTTGTGACACCCCCCCCTCCAGCTCCCCAGAGAGCTGCTCTGCTTCTTCCACTGCCCAGTGTAGCACATTCCCCCTTATCTCGTCTTCTTTCTTCACCTTCCCAGACCGTGGGTGCCAAATCCCTTCCCTTTTTCTCTCCAGCTGTGTAGAATCCCAGCTTTCTTCGGTGCCCTCCCTGCCCCATATCCACTCCCTAAAATTTTCTCTGACATTTTTTTGAGACATGACAGACAGTTCATTGGCTAGTCCTGACCATTCAGATTGTTGACTGGGAAACCCTGAAATGTCCCAGAGTAACTCTAATGCCTGGGAAAGTCATCTTCTCTTCTCTCCTTTAGATGGATAAAGCACCGTCCAAACCATCTGAAAATAATTACCACTTTCACTGACTGTCATCTGGTCAACCAACGAGATCTGTTCTAGGTTCTCACCCCCACTCCCATTCCACTCCTGACCTCCATTTTCAAGCTCCCTACATCCTCTGTGAATTCCAGCACCCACTTGCCTCACAAGGTCTCCATCTCGATCCCTGTCTTGGCTGCCACCTCCCTCATTTTTAGATGTTTTTCTGTGAAAGGGAGGTGCAGGGCCTATGAGGAGACCCAAGCAGGCTCCTTGCTCTCTAGATCCTGGACAGATATCTCAATAAACTGTGTGAACTAGAAGTTTACTTTTTGCTTTCTTGGAGTCCTGGGTTCTCGTAGGACCTGGGTGGTACTCTCTTATGCCTCTGGAGGTCCCATGTGCCCCATTTCCATTCATAAGTGGTCCCACTATTTCTCTTATACCTATAGGTCCTCCCACAAAGAAGGACAATAATGAATATTAGTTGTACTGAAAGTGGAGGTTGCCTGGTCTCCCAGATCCTCTTCCCACATCTCTCCTCTGTCCTTGCTCCAAGAAGTCCATTTTCTCCTCACTCCCCACTCACCTGGTTCCTCCCATTCCCCTCTCCGCCCAAGCTGCTTCTCTGCCATTAGGTTACCTCCCCTTCTAGATACCATCCCATCTGGGAGCCCCAAGCATGGATTTCCTGGGTTTCTGGGACAGCTGGAAACTTGGGAAGGTTAGGACATAAAGACAGACCAGATTCCTGATGACTAAGTAGGAGTCTAGGCAGGTGTTGTTCTGGGAGTTGGGGGTGGAGAGAGTAAAAGACAATGAGGATGACAGCATGACAGGTGTGCAGCCAAGCATGGTGACTCACTGGCCTGCATGAAAGTGTCCGAGCCAGTGGGAAAGCACAGCCAACAGTGCCCCTCACCTCTACATTCTTGCTGCCTCTGCTGTGTGGTTCTACAGTGAGAGCTGTGAGAGGAGAGAGGACAGAGCACTGTAGTGGAGGAGGGAGGTTGCCTTCCTGGAAGGGGAGAGAAAGTGGAGAGGGTGGTTGGGGTCATGTGACCATGTCCTGGAGACAGGCCTGGAAACAAGGAAGCCCAGGAAGCTCTCATACCACAAGGAGGGGAGAGGGAGCATGCTTGTGGGCAAGGGAAGAGCCTCACCTCAAGGCACACGCCACCTCTTACGACCTCTGTTTGGTTGCAAAGGAATTTACCCTACCTTAAAATATAACCATTCCCTCCTATTGGGATGGTGTCAGCAGGCCCCGTATTTAGGACTGTTGTTGAAATTCCCAGTCCCAAACCAGCAGAAATATGTTGCATTGATCGGAAATGATCTAGGGCATCTGAGGCAACCTGCAGGGTTGAGCAAACATGGGGGCGACTCCAGAACAGTCCTGTTTCTGTTGTTACTGTTGACTTGCCCTTGGCATCTGGTCACTGGACTGCAGTCAGTGATAGGAATCAAGGCCCCACAAGGCTACGGATGGCAATTGCAGGAGGGGTACAGCCTATGATGCAGGGATTCCTCTAGTCTCTGGTTTGGTCCAGGTCAAAAGCATTTGCAAAACTGGTGGATATCACCCCGAAAGTCTGCTGCCCCTCCACCCACTGGCCAATTCTAGAGAGAAGTTATTCACTCTTCTGGTAACTAGCCAGCAGGAGCTGAGATGAGGACAGAATGATAAAATTTAGCAGTAAAGTTTAGACTTCATGCAACCAGGAAAGTCTACTCTGGGTGTGTTGTGGCAGCCACAGAAAGAATAAAGGCATTTAAACTCTTTTTGTTGTAAAAATTTAAAATGTATTTAAGAATAGACAAAATAGTTAAATAATCCCTATGCTCTCATCACCCAGCCTTAACAATGACCAAATTGTGGTCATTTGAGAATAGCATTATATCACCCTCCTCTACTGTTAGTTGAAAATGACTGCTCTCTCTCAGTGTCTCTCATATTCTGTGGAAACATTTGACCATATCTGTGGTAGGCAGGAGGGTGCCCCCAACCCCCAACATTGTCCACATCTTAATCCCCAGAACCTGTGAATATATTAGGTAACATAGCAAAGGAAATTAAGATTGAAGATGGATTTAAGATTTTTAGTTCAGCTGACCTTCAAGTAGACAGATTATCAAGGATGATTTGGATGGGCTCAATGTCATCATAGGGTCATTGAATGTGGAAGAGGGAAGAGGAAGAGGAGATGAGAGTGATTCGATATGAGAAGATCCTGCTGCTTCTGTCACTGAACATAGAGGAAGGGACTGTGAGCCCCAGATTGCAGGTGGCTTCTATTGATAGAAGCTGGAGAATACATCAAATGGATTCTCCCCTGTAGTCTCCAGAAAGGAACTGGCCCTGTCAACACCTTGGTTTTAACCCACTGAGGCCTGTGTCAGACCTCTGATCTTCAAAATTGTAAGATACTAAATTTGGGTTGTTGTAAGTCATGTTTGTTGTTATTTGTTATAGCAGTGACAGGAAATTATTATATCACTATCTCTTAAGGATGGGAATGAGACTTGTTTCCCTAGACACAGGGTCTCATCTAGATCAGCCCCTCAGATGGGGTCCACTTCTGCACCTCAGAACCTCCTGCAGTCTGGGATTAAGGCAAAGGAGTTATGTGGATACACAAGAAAGGGGTGCTGGGAGAGAATGATCCCAAAGAGAAAGAGAAAATAACCAAGTGCTTCTATTGTGAGACGGCAATGAAGAGGCTGAGACCCCAAGGGGAAGGTCCTGGTGTGCTTGGTGCATGGAGCCAGGGAAGAGTATAGCTGGCAACCAGTGATGAGCAGTGAGTCAGGACAACTGGGTCAGAAAGGAGTAGGGATTTGGGGAAAAGGAACCATGTGGGAACACCCAGCTTCCCAGATACATTCAAGTGGCACCTGTTGACACAGACCACCTTAGGAATGAGGATGGAGTGTGGAGATTTATTTTCTCCACAACCAGTGGCCCAGCCTGTTTCTGCTGCCCCCACCCCACTACTAAGATAAAGGGCTAGCTGTTTTGGGGCCTAGGCAGATGTTAGATTGGAGCATGGTGCAGGGCCGTGGTAGGTGCTGGGCTCTGCTGGGCCTGCTCTTGATCTGCCTTCACTTCTCAGGTACATAGGGTGGGCCCAGCACTCAAGGAGGAGGGCATTGGGTGCCTGGGTGCCTGGGAAACTGGAATTAAGGGCATGGTCAGGGCAACATGGTGGACACTTGGGTGACTTGGGTCCCTGTGGGAGAGTAAGGGTTGGCTTTGGTGAATTGAACACATCCAAAGTCAAGGGAATCAAGGAGTCAGTGGAGGAGGGCTTTGGGTCACTGGCTGTCTCCTTTTCCTTTCCCCCAATGTCCTTCTGCCTGGAGCATCTGTATAGTGGAGGAGAAAGTTCCCCAAGACTTGGGGACCAACTTGTCTCTGCTTGGACAGCCTTCCTTGACCAGCCCTTCAACCCCAAACATCATCAGACCAAATCAGATCCTATGGCTAGTGATTTAGCAAGGGTTCTTCTGAAGCCCAATGCTATTCCATCAGATGACTCCCGACCAGGAGGTCCTGGGGTTCAGTGGTGGACCCCATCTGGGTGGCTGCCCTGCATGGATTCCTGGCCCTTTGAGGATCCTTATCAGATCATGGCTGCTGCTGAGGATCACCTGGGGGAAGTGCTGCCCAAAGAACCCTCTTTCCCTTCCAGTGCGACTGCCCTCCCTCTGGGAGACAGTCCTTTGCCTGTGGGGTCCTTGGCACACTCTGCAGGACCCTCACCTGTGGCTTCAGTCTTTCACCAGGACTCTGATTCTAGATGGCCATCTCGTTCTAATGTGCTGGGAGCCCAGGGAGAAATCCTTGTCTAACACCCACCTTGGTCTCTCATCAACAGGATTCAACACCAACTTCTGCCAGGTCACCCCTGGGGGACACTGACTCCCACTGTGTCCTGGGGAAGTGCAGGTCCTAGAAGTGGATGGGGAACCAAGCCTATGCCACACCCTGTGGGAATCTAAGGTATCAATAGTCAATACCCAAGTACTAACTGGGGAAATACTGATTGGTATCCAGGTAGTAGCTGGGGGAATATTAATCAGTATCGAGGTACCAGCTGGGGGAATAGTAATCGGTATCCTGGCACCAGCTGGGGGAATATTCATCAACACCCAGGCATTAATAATCAATTTTCTCCCAGAGTTCACCATCCTCCTGGCTCTTTTGGAAAAATCCCAGCTGGCTTCCCCAATTCTCAAAACCCTGGGTCACTGTGGGGGAGGAGAATGGCCGTGGCAAGCTCCAAGGTGGAAGTCAGAGAAGGGGCCCCACTCCCTCGCCTTGTAGTGCCATCTAAGTCAACATTCAGTCGGTGAGTGTCCATAGCTCTTCCGCTTTCCACTGCCCCTGCACCCCCATGCAGGTCACCAACAAAACACAAGCAGCTATTGAATCTGCTCTTTTGCAGTGTCTTTGCTTCTGGGTGCAAACTGAAGTGAGTTTTGTCTATCCCCATTTTCCAGCCATCACCAAGTCTCTCTAGGGACCTCCAGATGCTCTGTTGCTATTCCCATCCTTTGAAAAGGATCAAAGCCCAGGTATTTGGGGGTTGAGCCTCATGGTTTCACCTGGCCAGGTGGGAGAGCTGGTTCAGAATTGTCCTGGAATCTGACCAGGGGAGGAGGGGCAGCAGGAGTAATTGATATGGCACCTGTGGTAGGAGGGAAGGTGAGGTCCAGGAAGTTGGTACCAGGGCCAAGTGAGGTTGAGCGCTCTTTGAAACAGAGTGTCATTTTGTCTATCCTTATCTTTTCTTCCCCAGGAAGTCAAGCTTTTTGGAAGCCAAGGATGCCTTGACCTCCTCCCTTATGTGCATCCCTTGGCACATTGTGCCCAGAGAACCACAGACTTTGAACATTTGCTGAATTAGCAGCAGACCTCAGTGCTGGATGAAGGAAAGGGAGAGGAAAGCCTTTGAGCCGACAGTCCTGCCTGCAGTACATGCCATGCTTTTATTCCCAAGTGATGGCACTCTCTTCATTTTGTCACACTGCTGTCTCTGTCCTCCCTTTGGTTTTTCCAGGAACTCATCATTATCTCACAGGTGTTGGAATAAAGTGGGAAGGGTCACTCCGAGAAAGCTCAGAGGGAGGTTAGCAGGAACCAGGTGGGGGGTGACCAGTTTCCAGAATGCCATGTGTCTGGTGCCCGTCTTTCTGGTGCCATGCATGTGCTTCCCTGAAGTGGTCCAGGTATGTGCACACCTGGCAATCACTACAGGTTCTGAGAATAGGGCAAGTTGTGGGGGAGGAAGTAAAAAGAAGATAAACACCACAATTGGAGGGTGGGGAGCTGCCTATCTAAGTGCAAGGTGGGTGTTCTCAAGGAAAAATCTCTTGTCCCAGTGTCTGCCATTGAGACACCTTCCCGTCAACCACCACTCCTGATCCACTATCACCTCAAGCTCCTCCCCAATCCTTTCCCACCTTGGTTCATTTTTCTCTGTCTTGGTTCTGTGGTTTGTTCTCGGCACCTGTCTCTTCCACAAGCCCAAATTCATTGTCTGGGGTTTGTGGTTTCATTTTTTTCTGTCCCTTTTTCTGGTTATTCTCCCCTACTCCCCCTCTCCCCAGTACCACAAGGACAGTGACTAGGTTTTGTTCACTGCTACATCCTCAGCACCATGGATGGTATCTGGACCAAGGTCTGATCTCTCTCTCTTTCTCTCTCCCTCCCTCCCTCATTCCCTCCCTTTTTCTCTGTGCCTCCTTTGCGCTCTCTCTTCTTCCCCCTTATTTCTGAGCCACAGGGCTGCACGCAGACTCTGCACTTCTGTGTGGCCCTCCCACACTTTCACTGACATTTCTTTACACATAGCCTAAAGCCCTTCTCAGTTCATCAAATGCTGTGTGCAGTCCATCATTGAACCGTCATTACTATCTGTGAGGAAGGTGTTATAAGGTGAAGAAATGGAGCCCCAAATGAATGAAGCAACTTGCACAAAGTTACATACTAACAAGTGAAGTCGGTGACTCAAACCTAATTTTTCTCATTATCTGTCCAGAGAGTGTTCCAGTACAACATGCAATTAACAAAAACCCGTGTAATGTCTACTGCATACTCACAATGAGCCAGACCCCAGACAAGGTGCTGCCATACACATCCTCCCAGCTAACCTCCACAACAATCCCATTAGGTAGACACTGCTAGGCCCATTGCGCAGGTGGAGACAGAGGCCCGCAGAGGAAAGCCAAGGCTTGCAGAGAGGTGATCCTGAGCTGAGGATGTCTGGCACTCAGTGCTCATGGAGGGCCCTGGAGTAGTTGTGGTCAGCCCATCATAGTGGTCTTTGCTTTAAGATCAATTGTTACAAAAAAAAAAAAGATTCCTGATGGGACAGTAATCTGTGACATAGCAGAGGTCCTGAGATTTGCAGTGGGAGTACTGCTGGTGTTCTGAGCTTTCTGTACTGTTAGTGGTTAACTGGTGGACTACTGTCACAGGGGTCATGACCCCTGCCTTGAGGGACAAGGGACAGTGCTGAGCAGAAGGAGCACTTGTTTGGACCTGGAGGACACAGATGCCCCTTCTGTGGGCTTATACAGTCTTCTCTGCCCAGTCTATTTAGGTGAGTTGTTTTCCCCTGTGGACCTTAGCTTCCTAATCCGTCAATGGGATGAAGGCCGAGGTCCAGTCTCTCTCATAGGGTGGTTAGTAAGTTTGATTAAGGTAATGATAAAGTGCATCAGAGACTGGAAAACTCTGAGCAATTGTAATGATTGATTATAATGTAGTGAGTTGTCCCATTCAGGCCGTGCTGGTGGGATCACATAGGAGGAGGGTTATCAGACCCAGTGGTGGGAGTTGATGGTTCTGGTCAAGGTCAATGTGATGCTCCCCACTGGGAATCACACTTCAGAGAATTATTGCAGATCAAGAAGGGACAGTTGGCTTCTTGTTGAAGTATTTCCTTCCTCAAACAAACTGTGTTCACTCAGATGCTTTTCACTTACACACACATACACTTGGGTGCAAACAATAGCTTCCTTTATCGTTTATTCACTGTAAAAGAAATGTGTTATAGGGTTATTTAAATTATCACAACAATTCTAGGATGTACTTACTCTTAGTATTTCCATTTTATAGGTGAAGAAACTGAGGCTCAGCAGGCTTAGGTAACTTGCTCAAAGTCACATAGCCAGTGAGAGGTGGAGCATGGCTCTGGCACCATTTAAAAACTGCAGGCCTTGGGGGGCAATCTGCACAGGGCAGAGAGGAGAGATTCTCCAGTCCAAGAGATTCTCTTAATGGCTACATGGAGTTCCTCCCCCAACACATCCATTTGCACTCGCCTTTTCCTGTCCCCCGAAGACCACAGTCAGGGTTTGGTTTTGTCTTTCTCTCCAGACCAAACACTTACCTCTTGTGTTCTTCTTATTATTCAGCTGGAAGGATGTCCTCTGTTGTCTTCTTTCTCTCTGTTTCTTGGTCAGCATTCTTTTGTTACTGTCAGGAAACTAGTAAGATACCTGGGATACAGTCACCTTTTATAACCCACCTTGTCAGATATGAGTGCGAGCACATGAGACCTCAGGAACAGCAGTCACACACCAGGGTTTCCAGTTCTGTGCACTTATGTAATGTCCTGGTCCTGGATAGTCCAGAGTGGAGACAGTGGGATGAGACTCGGTCATGGCCTGGCCAGAGATGGCTGTTTTCAGTGCCAGTAGCAGTGGTGCTCTGGGTCCCAGAGGTCACTGGGTAGATGTGGTTTACCCATGGTGGTGGCAAAGCTGGTGTGGTAGCTGTTGTTTGTCCTAAACTAGTGGCCAGGCTGATGTGAAATGACTTTTGGTGTCAGGTGGTCTCCAGCTAGGCAAGCCCACAGTGGAGAGGTGGTAGAAACAAGTTGTGAAATAGTTTTGAGACCATTCAGTCCTTCTTGGCCCAGGCACTCATGGCAGTCATGACTGACAGAGTAGAACCTGTTTTCTTTAGCACCTTCCTTTCTGTCTCTTGGTCTCCTTTCTCTACATTCTTTTTATATGTTCTGACTGATCCCTGGCTACCTAGGACCACCCATCTATGTTCCCTCTGGCTGGGTCTCACCTCCCTCCCACACACTGGACTTTTCCTCTGGCCTCACTCCACCAAAACCTGCCTCTCCTGTACCTCATTACTCGGGGCTCTCTGTTTACTGTGCCATTGTAATGGGATGGTTTCAGAAGAACTAACTGTTAGGAATGAACAGGGGCAAGGATGATGAGCCTAGAAGGATAACACCAATCCACTCTGTTAGTGGGCCCGCAACTATCTGCCACAGCCTGCAAACTTTGGTTCTCTTTTCCTGGGACACACTACCATGTCTTTAAGAACTTTAAGGTATGCCTGTCTAGTGTGTAAGTTTATACCAAGATGAATTTATAAAACAATTAACATTTAGGCATTAGACTTTGGGCCAAGATGGAGGCATGGGTAGAAAAACTTTGCCTCCTCGCACAACCATAAGGACAACAATAAATTTAAAAACAAAAAACAACTAGAATTGCCAGAAAATTGAGGCATATGGAAGTCCAACAACCAAGGAGTTAAAGAAGAAACATTTATCCAGGTTGGTAAGAAGGGCAGAGATGGGCAGCTGGGGTGGAGAGGATGCATGACAAGGTGGCAACTGGCAGACCAGGTGGTCCCACATTTGTGTGTGGGTAAACCAGGAGGAACAACTGGGGAGCAAGACAGACCGCACAACCTGGGGTTCCAGCATGGCAAAATAAAGCCTCAGAACCTCTGGTTGTAAAAACCTGTGGGGGTTGAGGCAGCAGGAGAAACTCACAGACTCACAGGAGTGTTTATTGGAGAGGTCCACAAGGTCCTAGAATGTACACAAATCCACCCACCCAGGAATCATAAACCAGAAGGGCCCAATTTGCTTGTGGGTAGTGGAGGAAGTGACTGAAAGCTGGCTGAAAGTCAAGCAAGTGGCATTGTTCCTTCTTGGACCACTTTCCCACATACAGCACCACATTGTAGTGATGTGGCTTGTCCTTCCTTACTTAGTGAATGCTTCAGGATCCACCCCTTACAACATAACCAGTACGCTGAGACAAAGAAATATGGCCCAAATGAAAGAACAGATCAAAGCTGCAGAAATAGAACTAAGCAATCAAGAGATAGCCAACCTATCAGATGCAGAGTTCAAAACACTAGTAAGCAAGATGCTCACAGAAATGGCTGAGTATGGTCACAAATTAGAGAAAAAAGTGAAGGCTGTGAAAAGTGAAATAAAAGAAAATGTACAGGGAACCAACAGCGAAGGGAAGGAAACCAGGACTCAAATAAACGTTTTGGAGCAGAAGAAAGAAATAAACATTCAATGAGAACAGAATGAAGAAACAAGAATTCAAACAAAACAAAAACAAAACAAAACAAAAAACAAAGAGAGACTTAAGAACCACTGGGACAAGTTTAAATGTTCCAACATCTGAATCATAGGGATGCCAGAAAGAGAAAAGGAAGAGCAAGAAATTGAAAACTTATTTGAAAGCACAATGAAGAAGAACTTCCCTAATCTAGCAAAGGAAATAGACTTTGAGAAAGTTCAGGAAGCTCAGAGAGTCCCAAAGAGTTTGGACCCAAGGGAGCCTTGGCACATCATTATTAAGTTACCCAAGATTAAAGATAAGGAGAGAATCTTAAAAGCATCGAGAGAAAAGGAGACAGTTACCTGCAAAGGAGTTCCTATAAAACTATCAGCTGATTTCTCAAAAGAGACTTTACAGGAAAGACGGGGCTGGAAAGAAGTATTTAAAGTCATGAAAGGCAAGGAACCACATCCAAGATTATCCAATGCAGCAAAGCTATCATGTAGAATGGAAGGGCAGATAAAGTGCTTCTCAGATAAGGTCAAATTAAAGGAGTTCATCATCACCCAGCCCTTATTATATGAAACATTAAAGGGACTTACCTAAGAAAAAGAGAATGATGAAAACTATGAACAGTAAAATGACAATAAACTCACAACTATCAAAACTAAACCTAAAAAACAAAAACAAACTAAGCAAACAACTAGAAAAGGAAGAGAATCATAGAAATGGAGACCACATGGAGGGTTATCAGCAGGGAGGGGGAGGGGGAGTGGGGGGAAAGGTACAGAGAATAAGTAGCATAGATGGTAGGTACAAAATAGACAAGGGGAGGGTAAGAATAGTATAGAAAATGGAGAAGCTAAAGAACTTATATGTATGACCCATGGATATGAACTAAGTGGGGAGAATGTTGGTGGGAAAGGGTATGCAGGGCAGAGGGGAATAAAAGGGAGAAAAAAATGGGACAAGTATAATAGCATAATCAATAAAATATGTTTTTTTAAATTTTGAGCATTAAACAACATACCCAGCTACTGCATGAAAATTTATGGATTTAATGAGCTAAATTTATTCAAAGATTAAATATTGTTTCACACTGAAACTAATTTAAACATTTAATTAAAATCTCAAATATGATATGTAAGATTCTCTTAAATAACTTAAACCTCTAAGAAGCAAACAAATCCAAGGGTTATTATAATGATTAAAAAATCCATCACTTTACCACCATTAAAAATCAGTTACAAAATGCTAGTACCATGGATTTAAACTTATTGCTTCATTATCCT